CCCCCCTCATGCTTTCTACATCTTTGACAACATCAGGGCACAGAGGAAGCTTTTCCTAGCCAGGGTTTGTAGGCGCAGGAAGTAGATACCATGTGGGGGGATGGGGGCTGAGCGAGACCATGAGTTATACCAGGGGTAGCCAAACTGCGGCCCTCCAGCTGTGGGGTGGAACTACAAATCCCATGAGGCATTGCAAGATTCTCACAGCCACAGACAAGACTCCGGGAGATGCATCATGGGATTTGTAGTTTCACCCACAGCTGGAGGGCCGGAGTTTGGCTACCCCTGAGTTATACGGTGTTGCCGGGAAATGGTGGGCGGTTTCCAATGCGGATGGGCGGACCACCAAAGCACGGGCAGAAGTCAAAGATGGTGCTGTGCATGGATCAAGGTGCATGTGTTATATGGAGGTTCAATGTCCACCGGCTAATTCTAGGGTGAGCTATCCCTTTAAGTCTATTATGTGAATGCAGCGAGTGTAAAAACTTAAAATTGGCTCGGCGTCAGCTTCTTGTAATCCCTTTACAGCAGCGCTCAGACTGGGAGAGGCAAGGGCAGGACTGAAAACTGCATGCTTATGGGCTGACACGGAACTTGCTGGTAGGAGGAGACTGCAGAGTGTGCGGAGGGTTGACCTCATCAGTCTGCTGCTGCTCCTTCTCTGTCTTGTCAGCAGGCTGGAGGTGGCGAAATGGCAACACTGGTTTTCTTCTACAGCCTATAACTCTATGGAGGAGACAGGAGAGAGTGAACAGAGGGCTGACCTCATCAGTCTGCTGCTGCTCCTTTATTGTCTAGTCAGCAGTCTGGGGTTGGTGAAATGGCAACACTGTTCTTCTTCTGTCTATAACGGTAAAGGAGGAGATAGGAGATTGAGCAGAGGGCTGACCTCATCAGTCTGCTGCTGCTCCTTTATTGTCTAGTCAGCAGTCTGGGGTTGGTGAAATGGCAACACTGTTCTTCTTCTGTCTATAACGGTAAAGGAGGAGATAGGAGATTGAGCAGAGGGCTGACCTCATCAGTCTACAAGGAACATGCTGGTAGGAGGCAACTGCAGAGTGTGCAGAGGGTTGACCTTATCAGTCTGCTGCTGCTCCTTCTCTATCTAGTCAGCAGGCTGGAGGTGGCGAGATGGCAACACTGGCTTCCTTCTTCAGTCTATAACTGTAAAGGAGGAGACAGGAGATTGAACAGAGGGCTGACCTCATCAGTCTGCTGCTGCTCCTTTACTGTGTCGTTCGCAGGCTACGGGTAGTGAGATGGCACCACTGGTAAGGGGGAGATAGGAGATTGAGCAGAGGGTTGACCTCATCACCCTGCTGCTGCTCCTTCACGGTCTAGTCAGCAGGCTGGGGGTAGCGAGATGGCACCACTGGTTTCCTTCTACAGTCTAAAACTCTAAGGGGGAGACAGGAGATTGAATAGAGGGCTGACCTCATGAGTCTGCTGCTGATCCTTTGCTGTCTAGTCAGCAGGCTGCTGGGGGTAGGAAGATGGCACCACTAGTTTCCCTCTACAGTCTAAAACTCTAAAGGGGAGACAGGAGATTGAACAGAGGGTTGACCTCCTCAGTCTGCTGCTGCTCCTTCACTGCCTAGTCAGTAGGTCTGGGGTAGCGAGATGGCACCACGGGTAAGGGTGAGACAGGAGACTGAACAGAGGGCTGACCTCATCAGCCTACTGCTGCTCCTTCTCTATCTAGTCCACAGGTAGGGGGAGGCACGATGGCAACACTGGTTTCCTTCTACAGTCTAAAACTCTAAAGGGGGGAGACAGGAGAGTGAACAGAGGGCTGACCTCATCAGTCTACAAGGAACATGCTAGTAGGAGAAGACTGCAGTGTTTGCAGAGGGTTGACCTCATCAGCCTACTGCTGCTCCTTCACGGTCTAGTCCGTAGGTTGGGGGTAGCGAGATGGCACCACTGGTTTCCTTCTACAGCCTAAATCTCTTAGGGGGGAGACAGGAGAGTGAACAGAGGGCTGACTTCATCAGTTTCCTGCTGCTCCTCTATCTAGTCAGTAGGCTGGGGGTGGCGAGAAGGCTCCACTGTACAAATCCTTCGGCCTGTAAAACTCCCTCATACGTCTTTTGTGCATTTAGCGGGTTTGCCTGGAGTTCAGCTTTAAATTCACACACAAAGCCGCGTACGTCGTCGTCGCAGTCATTGCTTGATGCAGCAACACGGGTGACGGCTCGGCGTGCTCGTTGCACTGCTGCTGCGCAGTGATAAGGCTCGGCATAGGCACTTCTCTCGTCCCTGAGTGAATCATAGACGCCGCGCGTGAAAAGATAACACGGCACACTTTATCTGCACTTACTCTCCGCTCAAACGGAACCTTCGGCGCGCCTTCCCTCATACTACGCTCTCTCTCCCCGCCCCGCGCCTCTCCAAAGGCCTTGCTCCTCTTGTGCAGCACGCGCAGACCAAAAAGTCGGACACGTTGTAGCTGAAAAGCGAGCGGCAGGGGTGAAAGTACTGGTAGAAATAGAGCATGAAAAAGATGGCCGCCACGTACCCCACCAGGAGCTGCACCACCAGGAGTGGGGAGCAAAAATACTCGAAGCCGTCTTCTTTGTAAAAGTACCAGAGCAAAACCAGGGCCGCGTTCTCGAGTAGCCGAAAAGTGTAGTGGAGGCCCAGCCGCCTCCAGTTCTGGGACTGGTCGATGAGCCCTTGCTCGGCCAAGTTGAGTTGGACTGCCGACCAGCAAAACATATTGATCGCCGAGTACAATAACGTCATTGTGCCCAGGACCATCGTGGTGCCTATGCGGCTGAAGTTTTTCTCCACGTTCTCCGGGATCCGGTTCCCGCTCCTCCAAAAGTTGACCCAAGGCAATAGGAAGAGGGCCAGCAGGTTGACCACCACCACCGCCGCCACCCAAGCTTTCAGCGCCGCGCAGAAGAGCACCAGAACGGTGACGCGGGTGGCGATTTCCAAGGACCTCCACAGGATGATGCAGAAGAAAGCCGGCACGCTCAGCTGAACTTTGTAGTCGTCGTATTTGATCTGGATGGCTAAGATGTTCAGGACCAAAGCGCCATAGGTGGTGGATGTTAGAGACATCGCCATGAGGAAACCTGTAGAAGACAAAAAAATTGTATTCAATGTCACTTAAAAAGGGTCAGAAAATGGAAATGTCGGTGATAAAATTGATACGGCAATACACTGTATGACCAAAGGTCCATCAGATCTCAGATATAGGCAAATTCACGTGGATACCCCTCAGAATTCTGGAGTTCAAGTGCTTCCAGTGAAGGGCACTGCTCATGCTACAGCAAAGACGTGTAGACGATTGTGCCCCTCCAACCTCGTGGTAACAGTTTGGTGAAGGCTCTTTTCTGTTCCACCATGACCTGTGTACAAAGCCAGCTCTATAAAGATGTGGTTGGAAGAGCATGGTGAGGAGGAACTTGAGAGCTCTGACCTCAACCCTACTGAACACCTTTGGGATCAATTGGAACGCCAATTGCAAGCCAGATCTTCCAATCCAAGATCAGTACCTGACCTCTCTAATGACCATAGGTTGGTAGACACCGGACCATCAAATCTCAGATATAGGCAAATTCACATGGATACCCCTCAGAATTCTGGAGTTGGGTACTGCTCATGCTACAGCAAAGACGTTGTAGGCGATTGTGCGCCTCCAACCTCGTGGTAACAGTATGGTGAAGGCTCTTTTCTGTTACACCATGACCTGTGTACAAAGCCAGCTCTATAAAGACGTGGTTGGAAGAGCATGGTGAGGAGGAACTTGAGACACCCAACCATCAAATCTCAGATATAGGCAAATTCACGTGGATACCCCTCAGAATTCTGGACTTAAAGTGCTTCCAGTGAAGAGTACTGCTAATGATACATCATACAAAGACACTGCAGACAATTGTGCTCCTCCAACCTCGTGGTAACAGTTTGGTGAAGATCCTTTTCTGTTCCACCATGACCTGTGTACAAAGCCAGCTCTATAAAGACATGGTTGGAAGAGCATGGTGAGGTGTTATGGTGAGGAACTTGAGAGCTCTGACCTCAACCCTTCTGAACACAATCGGAATGCCAATTGCAAGCCAGATCTTCCAATCCAACGTCAGTACCTGAGAGGAAGGGTCCTTCTCTGCAGCGTGCTGGCAGGGGCCAGGCCTTTCTACTGTGCTGTGGCTGCTTTCTTATAGAGAAGGGCCCTTCCTCTCCATGTGGAAGCAGAGGTCTTCTGCTGAGTTATAGGTCTACAATCAGCAGAGTTCAAGGTGCCTGCTGATTGGAGAGATCTAGCTATCTGACTCTTTGTGGGGGGGGAGGGGGCGTGTTGGACCTCCCATGAGCGTCTTCTGCTTCCACGCAGTGAGCAAGGGTCCTTCTCTGCAGCATGCTGGCCGGGACAGGCCTTTCTACTCTGTGCTGTGGCTGCTTTCTTATAGAGAAGGACCCTTCCTCTCTGTGTGGAAGCAGAGGCCTTCTGCTAACTTATAGGTCTACAATCAGCAGAGTTCAAGGTGCCTGCTGATTGGAGAGCTCTAGCACTCTGACTCTTCGGGGGG